ATTCCACAAACAATTCTATTCATTTCCTGTAATGAGGCCTGTGTACTCCCTGCGTTCAAGTCTTAGACCATTAATTCCTGCAATGGCAACACACTCTGCCTCTCAGAAGAACTCCATAAAATTTTTCCTTCATATTTTCCCTATTTTTAAAAATCTCTTCCTCATATATTCTTTAAACTATGACTCATTTCTTTCTAGACTCACAAAACAAAAATTTACATTGACCCCTTGCCCTCCTTACATTTTATTCACTCACTCATTAATCAATCTCTTGTGACTATCTAGTCTCTTCCTAGACCACAGCAGCAAATCCAAATGCCAGGCACACATAAGGCTCTCAAGTAAATGTTTGTTTATAAGATAAAACTGAACTTTTTCAAATCATCAAAGGTTATCCCTAAAATAAAATACAAAGGCCCTCTGTTGGTCTTTGTTTCTTACATCTCTGTATCAGAGGTCAGCAAACTTCTGTTGTGAATGTCCATACAGTAAATATTTTAGGCTTTGTGGACCATACACTCTGCTTACCAACTAGTCAACCCTATTACGTAGTACAAAAGCAGCCATAAATAAAATATAAACAGAGTGGTTGTGTTCCAATAAAGCTTTATTTACAAAAAATAGGTGACCATGAATCATATTTTGCCTACCTCTACTCAATGCATTTAATCCTGTTAACCACGATGCCTGTGTGGGATTTGGGGACATTAACCTTTCGACCTCTATTTCTGCATAGTATCACTTCCTCTTCCATATGAAAACTAAAAATACCTGCTCTTCATCCCATGTTCTTCTCACTTTATGCTCTACCCTTTGGACAACTAATTCAGTTTTATGATTTTGACTGTCTCCTCCAAATGATGTTTCCAGTGCACATTCCCAGCCTTAATCTCAGTTTTGTATTTTGGGTCTTAAATCATCAAATTCTTGCTGGAAACTTTCATTTGGTTTTCCTGCCATTACTTACAACCCATCATATATCTTAATACCAAATTCTCTGTATGTCCTTCATCTCTTCCTCATATGCCTTTAGACCCTAATTATTAATATTTCTAATACTGCAGGTAGTACTATAATAGTTCAGGTCAACTAGACTTGTAAACTGGCATCATCTCTCCTTCTCCCTTCTCTTCTCCCTCCCTATCCCTATACTGAGTATTCCTTATGAATATCTCCTGAGGCAGTCTTTCTGTTCCTTTTTTTTTTTTTTTAAAGATTTTATTTATTTATTTGAGAGAGAGAATGAGAGACAGAGAGCACGAGAGGGAAGAGGGCAGAGGGAGAAGCAGACTCCCTGTTGAGCAGGGAGCCCGATGTGGGACTCGATCCCGGGACTCCAGGATCATGACCTGAGCTGAAGGCAGTCGCTTAACCAACTGAGCCACCCAGGCGCCCTTTCTGTTCCTTTTTATCCTGGGATTTCATGATATCCTACTTAGACTTTTTTTTTTTGCTAGAGTCTCTCTGAATTTCCTAAAACACTATTATATAACATTTCACTAACTTCTAATATTCTGCCCATGTAATCTTCCTAAAACAACCCTTTAAAACACATTACCTCAGATTTAAAAAGTAAACAGTTCCAGTACCCCACTACCAAGAAAATAAATCCCAAATTCTTCAACCTGAAATGGAATATTTAATCATCTGTTCTACAAATGTTTACTGTCAGTTGTGCTGGGTTTTGTCCCTCCTATGCTCAAAGCCTTTGAAAACCCAGTTACAATGGCCTCTTCCCTTCTAACCCTAAGAGTCAAAAAACTTACTAATTTCTTATTATGGCATACACACTCATGGTTTAGGGAAGATTCTAGGCACTGGTGATACAGAGACGCACAAGACACAGTAACCCCGCCTTCAAGCACCTGTCATTCAGTGTCTTACCATTCAAACTCTCAACTGTAACCATAAGGCGTATCTATAATACATAGTATCTATCATTGCTCTTATTATTCCTTTTAGCACTTCTACCTCCTCTACATTTAATTCTTATTGGTTTAATGCTCACTTTCAATTCCACCTCTGCTGTACAACTTGCCCAACCTCATTAATTTTTACTCAGTCCTCTTCAATACTTTTATTGAACTTAAAAATCTATGTCACACAGCACAGAAGTTGTAAATATTCATAAGTGAACACCATTTAACAATCAGCCTCCTATTAATTTGAGAGCACATTCAGTTCTTATTCTGTATCACCTATAATACTGAATACATAGAACAAGCTCCATTAAAAAAAAAAAAGAGCTTTTATACACAAAGTAACACTGGAAATTAATATAAGGGCAGGTTGTCTAGTGGCAGTATAGCTTTTTACTTATCTACTTATACTGATTCTCCCCAGTCTCACTTAACAGTACTAATTTGCAAGGGAGCCTTCATAAAGGACACAACTGATGACCAAAACACAAAAGGAACCACATTAAGAAGACACTCAGCTGAGACCCCTGACATTATCACAGTACTCTAATGGAATGAACTAAAACTCTCTTGTTCACAATCATGTATATTTATTGTAGTAGTATATAAGCAAAAATTAGTGCCATGTACAGATTTCTAAATTTTGAACTCTCATAATTAATGTCTAATCCATAAAAAAATAATTGAACTTAAGTCATTTGAAAATACCTACAACTTATAAAGATGAATAGTTAGATTAAAAACCTACCATAGCATCCACCTTTGGGGCTGTTAAAACTAGCTGGAAAACTTGGTCACTGCCTATGTAAATAAATCATATCACTTTTGAAATCTTTACCTCAGAGTATTTTTAGTTTAAAAATAGAGGAGTATTTATCAAAGTATTTATCAGCAATTAAAATATACACTAACAATGACTTCCATTAAATAACAGAATATAATCTTGACATAAAAATAAGATCTGTACACCAAATCTTACATATTGCCTGTGGGCATGTAAAATGATATACTTTAGAAAACTGGCAGTTTCTTCAAAGATAAAAATACACATACACGGGCACCTGGGTGGCTCAGTTGGTTAAGCGACTGCCTTCGGCTCAGGTCATGATCCTGGAGTCCCAGGATCGAGTCCCACGTCGGGCTCCCTGCTCGGCAGGGAGTCTGCTTCTCCCTCTGACCCTCGCCCCTTTCATGCTCTCTCTCTGTCTCATTCTCTCTCTCAAAGAAATAAATAAAATCTTAAAAAAAAAATACACATACGCTATGATACAACCTATCCCTAGGTATTTTCCCAAGATAGAGTGAGGAAAAACATACAGTCACAAAGAAACTTGTACACTAATATTAAGGACAGCATTCATAATAGCTAAAACTGGAAACAATCCAGATGACCATCAATTTAAAAAAAAAGAATAGGGACCACCTGGGTGGCTCAGTCAGTTAAGCATTTGCTTTCAGCTCAGGTCATGATTCCAGGGTCCTGGGATCAAGCCCCATGTGGGGCTCCCTGCTCAGCCGGGAGTCTGCTTCTCCTTCTCCCTCCCTCCCTCCACTTGTGCTCTCTCTCTTAAATAAATAAATAAAAATCTTTTAGAAAGAAAGGGGGGGGAAGAAGGAAAAGAAGGAAGGAAGGAAGGAAGGAAGGAAGAAAGGAAGGAAGGAAGGAAGGAAAGAAGGAAGGAAGGAAAGAAAGAATAAAAGGTCTATAGTTTATTCATTCAAAGCAATCCTGTTCGGCAATACAAAGACATAGACTAGGGGTACACACAACAACATGCATAAATCTCGGTAACCTTATGCTTAGTAAAAGAAATCAGATACAAAAGATTCCATTCATATGTTGATCTAAAACAAAACAAAATCACAGTGATAAAAATAAAGACAGTGGTTGCTTCTACAGTAGAGTTGACTAGGAAGTAGTACAAGGGATACTTATGGGGTGAAATAAAAGTTTATCAAACAACAAAATGTTCTAGTGACCATTTTTCTAAGGTATTCAATTGAAAATAATTATCAACTATGGACAAAATGTTTAAAAACTATTTGAAGGAAAGGAAGAGTGAGCAAAAGGCAGAAATTGGAAAGGATCTGATCAGTGAAAAAAACAAAACCAGATGCACTGAATAAGATCCAAATCTATATGGTTTGTCCAATGAAGACACTCCATAGTCAGCGTGGCATACCATGGTTGAACAAGCAGAAAGTTACTATCTTCTTTGTTTAAGAAGCCAGAAAACAGAATTTGGGAATGTCAGTGTGGCTGGAAAGTAAGGAGGGGAATCATAAAAAGGATAAAGTCAAGCCATGGTTGGGGAAGGTCCAAAAATTTATATTTAAACTCCCCTCAAATCCTTGGCCAACCTAACAACATAAACACAGGGCACAACACAAGAAACCCAACTGAAAGCAATACCTAGAAGGCTAAAATAACTGACCATAGATTTCAACTACTGGTACTACAGAGGAAACTAATCAGGGATGCTTGGTAAATAATTTGGGCTTTCTACAAACCTGTTTTAACAAAGCAGAAAACCAAACCTCAAGATAATTGACCAATAATGTAACTACTTACTAGAGCAAAAAACCAAAACTCTGCAGAGAGAAACCAAAACCTCTATAACACATCTTGTACATTTTCTTTTTTTTTTTTTTAAGATTTTATTTATTTATTTGAGAGAGAGAATGAGATAGAGAGAGCATGAGAGGGGGGAGGGGCAGAGGGAGAAGCAGACTCCCCGCTGAGCAGGGAGCCCGATGCGGGACTCGATCCCAGGACTCCGGGATCATGACCTGAGCCGAAGGCAGTCGCTTAACCAACTGAGCCACCCAGGCGCCCACATCTTGTACATTTTCTAATATAAAATAAAAAATTAATACAGGTGTGGAGAAATAAAAATATGACCTATAGCTCAGGAAAAACACTCCATACGTTGAGATCACAGATGTTGGAATAAGGAAGAAAGGATTTTAAAGCAGCTATTATATATTCAAAGACTTTAAGAAAAAGATGGTCAAAATGAATGGACAGATGAGACACTCTCAGCAGAGAAAATGCAAATGTATTTGAAAATGGAAATTCTAATGCTCATTTGGCAGCACATATACTAAAACTGGAACGATACAGAGAAGATTAGCATGACCCCTGCACAGGGATAACACGCAAATTTGTGAAGCATTCCATATAAAGAAAAGAAAAGGAAAAGTAAATGGAAATTCTAGAATTTAAAATTGTATTAACTGAAATAAAAATTCACTGAATAAGCTAAACAATGAACTGGAACCAGAAGAAGAAACTGTAAGTGAAAATGAATGAAATCAATAAAAAATGATTGAATATGAAGTAGAAAAATATTGGAAAAAAGAAATAGCGCCTTAGCTACTTGTTAAACAATATTAAATAGTCTAAAATAAATGTAATCAGAATATGAGAAGTAGATGAGAAAATGATGCAGAATAAACATGTAGGGGAAAACTGCAAAAATTTCCTCAAATCTGTGAAAAATATTACTGACTGCATGCAGACCCAATGACCTCAGTAATCTCTAAGCAGAAAAATACAAAGCAAACCTCAACAGTACACACAATCATCAAATGGCTGAATGCAAAGACAAAGAAAGAAATCTTAAAATCATCCAGAGGGAAGAAAGACAAGTTACATAAGGGGAAAATGATATAAATAAAAGCTGACCACTTATCAAAAACAATGGAGGCAAGAGACAATAAAATAACATCATTAAAGTCTAAGAGAAAAAAATAATAAAGTTCTACAAGAAAAAAAAGTCATCTGAGAATAACTGCCTGGAGATCTGAAGTACAAGAAATACTAACTAAAATTTTCATGCTGAAGAAAAATGACACCAGATAAAATTTGGATCCACAAGAAGGAAAGAACAGAAATGGCAATTACGTAAGGTTAAATGACTACTTTTCCTCGATTTTCTTTAACGTGCACAGGATTAAGGAAAGCAGAAACTATGAAGTTGTTTTGAAAGCTTTAAAATATTTTTACAACAAAGAATAAAAAAAGGTAAATGAAATAATTCTTTTCACGATTCTTAACTTTATATTGATATGGTAAAATATAAAGTGCATGTAGAATGTAATGAGTGTATACTTTAATCCCTAGAGCAACCCTTAAAAATAATTAAAAGAGGTACAGCTAAAAAGTTATTCAAGAAATTAAAACAGAATACAAACAAATATTTTATTAACAAAAAGAAGTGAGAAAGGGACGAACCAAGGCACAAAAAAATTAAGTAACATGATAAAACTAAATATAACATATCAATAAGAATTCAAGTATTAGAAAGAATGTAGAGCAACTAGAACTCTCATACATTGCTGGTGGAAATATAAAATAGTGAAATGACTTTGAAAAACTCTTTAGCAATTTTTTAGAAAGTTAAATATATTTCTATATACGACCGAGAGATTCCACTCTTCATATTTACCCAGCAGAAATAAAAACGTTTATGTTCACAAACTGAATTACACAAGACTGTTTCTAACAGCCTTATTAATAATAGCCAAACACTTAAAAACATTTCTAATGACTGCAGACACCTAAATGGATAAATATATGATGGTTTATTAACTCAATGGAACACTGCTATTCAGCAATAAGAACGAAGTGCTATACACAACTTGGATGAATCTTTTTAGCAAAGAAGCCAGACACAAAAGAGAACATACTATTATGATTCCAGTTACATAATGTTCTAAAAGTGGCAAAACTAATCTGAGGGAATAAAACAAAAATGATCATTGTTTGTTAAGTGGGGGGTTGTTTGGAAGGGGCCATGAGAGAACTTTCTGAGGTGCTACAGGTTAGGTTTCCCTGGAAACAGACTCTTAGATGGATTATTTGTGTTCAGGAAGTCCACTGGGAAGTGCTCTCATGTTCAATGCCTATGATGAGTTGAAGGAAGCACAAGTGGGTACAGGAAGAAGTTGAATTGTGATACAACAGCAACAAATGCCTTAGGCCATCACATGGGGAGTTCTCAAACTGGGATGGGCCTTAGAAACTGTCCCAAATTACAGCAAGTGGACCAAGATCTTTATGCCTTTCCCCCTACCCTACCACTGCATTGACCAGTCATTGGGTATACACAGCCCCCAGAAAGTAGGTGTTACAAGATCAAGATAGTCCCCTTCAGTAGAAGGCAACTCTTAAAACTCTCTTTGGTTGAGAGTTGTCCACCAACATTCCCAGCAGCTTGAAAAATATGTGTTCGATTCCAGAAGCACTCCACTGTATTCATAACATGGCATGAGAGAAATGTTTTTATCCTGATTGAAGTATTGATTATATGGGTGTGTATACATTTATCAAGCTCACTGAACTGTACATTTAAGATCCATTTGGGGCACCTGGGTGGCTCAGTCGGTTAAGCACTGGACTCTGGATTTCAGCTCAGGTCATAATCTCAGGGTTGTGAGATTGAGCCCTGCATCGGGCTCCACATTGGGCATGCAGCCTGCTTAAGATTCTCTCTCTCCCAGGGTACCTGGGCAGTTCAGTCAGTTGGGATTCCGACTCTTGATTTTGGCTCAGGTCATGATCTTGGGGTCTTGGGACTGGGCCCCGAGTCGAGCTCCATGCTCAGTGGGGAGTCTGCTTGGGATTCTCTTTCTCCCTCTCCCTCTGCCCCTCTGGCCTGGCTCACACCCTCTCTCTTTTTTTTTTTTTTTAAAGATTTTTATTTATTTATTTGACAGAGAGAGACACAGTGAGAGGGGGAACACAAGTAGGGGGAGTGGGAGAGGGAGAAGCAGGCTCCCCGCAGAGCAGGGAGCCTGATGCGGGGCTCGATCCCAGGACCCTGGGATCATGACCTGAGCTGAAGGCAGACGCTTAACGACTGAGCCACCCAGGCGCCCCTCGCACCCTCTTTCTCTCTCTAAAAAATAAATAAAATAAATCTTAAAAAAAAGATTCTCTCTCCCTCTCCCCCCCAAAAAATCCATTTATTTCACTGTATGTAAATTCTACCCCAAAAGAGGCCCTCCCACTACATGCATTATTTATTTTTTAAGATTTTTATTTATTTGACAGAGAGAGAGACAGCAAGAGAGGGAACACAAAACAGGGGGAGTGGGAGAGAGAGAAGCAGGCTTACCACTGAGCAGAGAGCCCGATGTAGGGCTTGATCCCAGGATCCTGGGATCATGACCTGAGCCGAAGGCAGACGCTTAACACTAAGCCACCCAGGAGCCCCTGGTACGTGCTTTAAAAATGTTATACTCTTATTCTGGACTCCTGCCCCCTCCCCGCAAAAAAACCCATACTTAAATACTAACAAAGTACAACTTGGAATGAAGAGAGAGAGAAGATTAAATTTTAAAAACAAGGAACAGTACCATAGTCAAACTACAGCTTTTAAAACAGTAGTGGGTATTCATAGCAATTGGCCCCTAGTATTAGAGACCATAAAAAAGAAAAAGATGCTGACATTCAGAGGTATTAATTTGAAGTTCAAATAGAAGTCCATATCCATGTAGCAAGGATGACATGGTGATTTGATACAAAGCAGCACTGTGATTTTTCTTTAAAGGATTTTATTTATTTATTTGAGAGAGAGAGTGAGAGAAAGTGGGCTGAAGGGCAGAGGGAGAAGCAGACTCCCTGCAGAGCAGGGAGTCCGATGCGGGACTCTATCCTGGGACTCCAGGATTATGACCCGAGCCAAAGGCAGATGCTTAACTGACTGAGCCACTCAGGCGCCCAGCAACATGGTGATTTGATGGTCTTTGTTGAAGCAATGGAAGGCAAACACCTGAAAGAGTTTTGTCATTAAAAAAAAAAAAAAAAGTACAAACCCAAGCTCTACCTTTCCATTACTTTTCAAATATTTTTCAAAAATTCCTACAATGAATATCCCTTTCTCTCAGTTGTGGGACTGGCAATATGAAATAAAATAATCACTACCAATGCAAACATCACAATGCTATCATATATTTAAAATAATTATGCTTTGAAGAACTATACAAAGAGCCCAAGGAAAGATTGTTCAGATGATTCTTTCATAGGTTTCTGAATTAATGCATGAAGGTTATTTATACTGTGAAGAGCAAAATACTATTTTAAATCAATATCAGATTAAAAGTGACTTTTATCACATTATGAGCACACATGGTTCTGTGCACATATAACTATAAATCTGTAGGTTCCCGGGGAGAAACAGTACATAAATAAGTGAAACAGCAGCAAATTATGTTCACTAACAATGCTAAGTTAGTACAAACCAAAATGATATACTGAAAAACTACATAAATGACAGTAAATGCAAGCCTTTTTTCAAAATAGGAAAGATTTGGTCTTTCACCACGGTTACAACTTTACTGAAAGAATATGAATGGTGCCTTAAAGTTGGTAAGTCCATCCAATTACACTCAGGAAATAAACTAAAATTAAAAGGTGAGAAGGTAAATGCAAAGTTATTTTTGAAAATTTAATGCAAGTCAAAGGTAGAAAAATTCATGTTTTAAAAATATGTGTTTTACACTCCATATTTAAGAGGAAGGTATTTCTCAACTGAAGCTGAAGTTCTGTTTACAAAATTTTCAGAAATATTTGTTTTCCTTCATGATCCACACAGAATAGAGGGGAGGAAATTAAGTATACTTTTGTAATACTTTTGTGCTACTGCAATAACATACTACTCACTCCTTAAAAGTTGATCTTCAATTTCTGCTCAATATGAAAATCTCTATAACCCAATCAATTTGTGGTCATTTACCTCCATTATAATTTCTTATATTAAGCATCTCCATTAAATTACTCAACTTCTAATTTCAAAATAGGTTTAAGTATATGAAATCATTACCTTGTTAGTCTTTTTGAAAGTAAGATGGTAATCACGATATAAATAGAAGAGGGTCTAACCTAATCCAACTGTTTATAGACCCACTTCTTTGCTAACCTTGAAATACAGGTGAAGGGCTAGAATCTCACAATTTTATTTTATAAACACCTATGATAAAATAACCTGTTTGTACTCCTGAGTATCATTTAAAATGTTTTCTAAATATCATTTAGAATACCTTTCAAGTATATAAAACCGTATGGAAGAAGTGGTCAGTGATAAAATGCTGGCAAAATACTTTTAGTTGGCAATATTTCCTAAAGCAGGAACCCCATTCATTCTGACTTTGTCCTATGGTCTCTGGGTGAGTTAGTCATCA